GGTGGGGCAGGTCTGGGGAAGGAAGGGAGTCGTTTCCAGGAGGGGGTTTTCCATGTGGCTGGTTGGAACTGGGCTTTACCAAAACGGGAGGTGAAATCTGGAAGGCAAACTGGAGGGGTGGAAGAGTGTCATCCCAGAGGAGCACAGGGATGCTCAGAGGCAGCATGAAAACACCCACCTTGACCGTATTGACAAACATGAGACTTTTTGCATAGGCACCTCTGTGCATTGAGGTGTTTTTCCTCATCCAGATTTGACCATCAAAAGGATCAAAGCCCAAGGGAAGGGATTCCCACTGCCTGACCTTCCTGCTTCCTCATAATGACTTCCCTTGCTTTCTGGTACAGAGCTTTGAACCCGGTGTGACTTGTCATGTCCACGGTTGAGCCAGAGCTCCTAGACACGGGGCAGGGATGCAGCCCTGGAGTCACCTTTTCCCCGGCTCCTGTTAAAGGGAAATCATGACTTCATGGTGGTTCTTGTGGTCAGACATCAGGACATGCCAAGGAGAGCTCGGTATTTCTCATTTGCTTTGCTGAGATGGAAGAGAGAGTGCCAGGAGTCCTGACCGCGCTTCCTTGGGACCCAGCTCCCTCCTCACCAAATCCCTCCTCACTTGTAAGAACAACTGGAAGAGCTCACCGAGGCCTTTCAGCCCAGCACAAAATGCCAGGTCCCTGTTAGCTGCTGGCAGGCTTCTCCAAAGGGCACAATCTTTTGCTGTCATCTGCCAGCTTTCTTTTTGTTGTTGCTTTTTGGAGGAAAAAGCCCTCCAAAGTGTCCTCCACCATCCAATCATCCCTTATGGCTCCTTTGCCCACTGCTCACCTTGAGCTCCTTGTGCCACTGGTCCCTATCCACTGGGATAACTGCTGTGGTGATTCCCAGATGCTGAAAATTGCCTGTTTCAACTGGGAAGCTCTACCAGGATCCAGACCATCTGTGGTCACTGAGCATCACATGGTAGTGCTGGTAAGGATGCAGGAGTGTCCTGGCTGATGGCTTGGCTGTGGTTCAGCACCGGTAATTCATTTTCCCTTCCCGAGTTCCCCTTGCAGGTCTGTTGGAGGAGCTGCTTCCTTCCCCTCCGGCCCCAAACTGCACCAGAGCACCACTGTCAGCTGGAAAACTTCTGTTTGAACTCCCTTGGCACATAAAATCATCCCTCTGTTTCTTCGCAGTCAGTGGTTTGAGGACTATTTACCAGCCCACGGTAATCTCTGGTGCAGTTTTCATCCTCTCTCTCTTGGAATTGTGTTTGGGAATGGATTTGTCTGGAGGAACAAAGTATGCTGAAATCCTTGAATGGAACGTGCTGTAAGATAGTCATCGATAACAAAGCAGACTTAGGTGCTGGGCCAAGTCTTTTGAGCCTGGTTTATTCTGCGTGGCACATCCCTTCTCCCACGATGAGCTGCTTCATTCCAGCGCTGTTCTGGGATGGATCAGTATGGGTTTATTGTCAGTTTATGGAAGGTCCTTGGGTAGCCGTGGCTGAGCAGGTACCTTTCTCTGCTGCCCTGTCAGCTGGGCTGCCTTAATGATTTTCTATTTGCATTTTGGGCACCGTTTCTGACAAGTGCTGCTTGCCATCTGTCAGAGGAGAGATCCGGCACGGGTGGCATTCCATTTGCTTTATTCCTAAGGTGGAGTGATGGTCTTTCCTGTTAGCAGGACATTGTCCTGGCAGAAGCCACAGCCCTGTTGTTAATGCTGTTATTAGCACTGGTGGCAGAAACGGGAGGGAGGGGACATCACTGTGGCTTTCCTTGGCTCACATGGTTCACTGACAGTGACAAGTCCTCGGTGCCCACTTTCTCCACTGTAGATATTTATGTGCATAACAGCACAAAAGGATGCTGTAGTTTGAAGCACCCCCAGCTGTTGTGCCAAAGCAGCCAGGACGAAGTATATCAGGAGTACATCAGGAGCAGACCTGGAGTACATCAGGAGTAAATCAGGAGCTCTGTATTGCCATGCAGTACCATTATCATCTTGGTTACCAGAGAAGAAAGCTCAATTATGGGACCTTCCAGCTGGAAAAGTGTTGTTAAAGTGAAGACAGGTGAATCTGTCAAATGTCATTGCATCTCCTTGTACCAGTGGCTGCAGAAGCACATGCCAGAGCTTTAAAAGCCAGTGTGTGATATACTGACTGCACTGAATAAATCTGGAAGCTTGAAGCCAGGCTGAGCTCCCTCTGTCCCTACTTTGTCACCAGAATAAATACTTGAGAATGGAGCTGGTGCTTCAGCCACGTGGGAGGCTGCAGCAGGGCTTGTACCATGGGATGGGTAGCACAGGCACCCGCTGCCCACTGCTGTGGTGGGTGCACCAGGCTGGCATGGGGACCTCCGATGGGTCCCCCGTGATGCCAGGCTCCAGGCAAGCACCATCAGTGTAGAATCATAGACTGGTTTGGATTGGAAGAGACCTTAAAGCTCATCCAGTTCCAACCTTCCACTAGAGCAGGTTGCTCCAAGCCCCTGTGTCCAACCTGGCCTTGAACACTGCCAAGGATGGGGCAGCCACAGCTTCTTGGGCAGCATGTGCCAGGGCCTCAGCACCTTCATAGTAAGGAATTTCTTCCTTCTATCCAACCTAAATCTCCCGTGTTTAAATTTGAACCCATTACCCCTTGTCCCGACACTACAGTCCCTAATGAAGGGTACCCCTCTAGCATCCCTGTAGGCCCCCTTCAGATACTGGAAGACACAGCAGAGGGAGCTGATTCTTGCAAGCTGTCAGCTATTTTCAGGCTGAAATTGAGACCAAATGGCCATATCTAAACAGGGTGAGCAGGAGGTAGGAGTTCACAGTGTGCTTGCATTTGGTGCCTGCAGGAGTTAGTGCCCAACGTTGCTGCCCGGAGCTGTGCTAATACAGCATCGCGGCTTGGTCATGGCGAGGCTGCATCCAGCTCTTCCCACTGGAGGCTTTGGAGCAGGGCCTGGAGAGTCCTGGAAGTGGAGGACTTGGACAGCACTTGCCTACGCTTTTCTTGGCCCTGGCAGCGGGCGAGTCTCTCACTTCCATAAGCACCAGCAGCTTCATAAACAAAGTCAAGGGAAAACAGCTAAAAGCAGCGATGTCAGAAGTTCACACGCTGGGTGACTGAGCAGGAATTTGGGGCCAATGGGATGAAGATAAAAACCATGCAACTGCTGTTCCTCGCCTCCTAACAGAACATATGTTTTATTTCCCTCTGTTTGAGAATTAAAGCGCAGCAAAGCCCCAGTAAAACCAACTGGTTTGTGGTCAACATCCAGGAAATTTCATGTGCCTCCGCCTGGTCTGGTCCTTCAGGCCACAACTGCATCTTCATCCCCCACAAGAATAATTCTTCTATAAACACTGAAATACGGTGCCTACAGTAATAGCCCACTTAAAATGTCTCATTATTGCAGTTTAACTGGTCATTAGCAGCTGGAATAGGCTGATTTCTTATGGGTTATGGTAGAAATAATTACCTGGTACTCAGAGCCATTAAAAACCAGTTAATGAGTAGAGGGGGAGAAGGTGCTGACATGGACGCAGGCACAGTGCTGGTGTAGCAGGGTTCCTCTGTAGGAAACCAGGCTGAGGTTTGTTGCCTGTGGGATCCAAAGTAATATAAGCCATGGGGAACTGTTAAGCTATTAATGTGATGTAAGTTTGACAGCAGTCCAGCCACTGTACCCGTTCTGAAAGGTTCATTTTGTGATGTTTTGTTCTGTAGATGTTGAGTTGCCTTTTCCCCCCCCCCTTTTTTAATGGAGCTAATTAGAGGCTGTGTAATTTCCAGAGGAGGACAGCATTGTGCTCCAGGAGCATTGGCTGCTTCTGAGATCCCATGTTCACTCATAAACACTGACATGTTCTGTATGCTTTCAATAAAAATGGCATATTAGCTTTAGATGTGGTTACTGGAGTAGTTTAAGGGTGAAATACAGAGGAAGATTCCTCCATCAGGAGAAAACCATTGACAGCCTGTGAGCATCCCGTTGGCTCCTGCTGTTTTCTTCGGCTGTTGACATGTGTTGTTGGAAGAACCATTAGAAGCTCCTGTTTATTGTAGGTGCAGGATGAGCAGAGCCCAGCACAGAGAAGGATTAAAGCAGGTAAGGTGGGAAGGTGCCTGCTGATACCTAGTGAACCCTGGGTTTCGTCTTCTTGGGTGTCTGGCTCATAGATGTGTAAGACTTGGGCAATAAGGAGTACCTGTTGTGGAGCATCCATCACTTCACGGTAGGTGTTGTCACTCGGATGGGTGTCACTGGGTTTGTAGGAAGCAGTAGGTGCTTTGTCCTGCCCCTCAGCCCTGTCCTTGTCCCCGCAGTGCTCCATGCCCGCCTGTGTCACCGCGTTCCACGTCACCTGCGCCTTCGACCACAACCTCGACATGCGGACTATTCTAGCAGACAACGACGAAGTGAAGTTCAAGTCCTTCTGCCTTGAGCACAGCACTGGTGCCACTAAGTTGCCCGAGGAGGCACGGACAGAGCCTGACCAAGCCCAGCTGGACTTGGAGAAGGTCACGCTGCGGAAGCAGAAGCTCCAGCAGCTGGAGGAGGACTTCTATGAGCTCGTGAAGCCCTCGGAGGTGGCGGAGAACCTGGACTTGAGCGAATCGCTGGTGGATTTTGTCTACCAGTACTGGAAGCTGAAGAGGAAAGCAAACTCCAACAAGCCGCTGCTGACACCAAAAACAGATGAAGTGGACAACTTGGCCCAGCAAGAACAGGACGTTCTCTACCGACGCCTAAAGCTCTTCATGCACCTCAGGCAAGACCTGGAGAGGGTGAGTACAGCTTTTCCTTCAGTGATGTGCCCATATACTCCATCAGGGCTGCTTTAATGTGTGCTGGCATCTATAGTCAAGTTGAACTTGACTCCGTTCAACTCCCAAAACGGTTGTGTCCCTTCATCTAGAGCATTATTCAGAAGAAGAGTGCTCGGCGTGTGTGTCATCACTGCCAAAACACTGACACTGATGAAATAAGTTAGTGGCAGTCACAGCTGGGGGTTCAAAAGAACAAATGTCTGTGGCAAGAGGTGCTTTGGTGGGGTTGGGTGGATGGAAGGCAGATGATGCTGCAGCTTCTATCCACTGTATCTTAACAGCCTCAAACCACAGAATTACGCAGTGCCTGCCCCTCAGATGCTCTCTAGCAGCAAGGCCCAGGAACACCTCATTATTTTCCTACATAGAACATCAAAGACAGGGGAATGGCAGGAGGGAGCAGCGGGGCCACCTGGACCGGGCATTCCCTGCCGCAGCCGAAAGTGGACCGGCCTTCCCCGGCCCCAGCCGAAAGTGGGTCGGGTCCTCAGGGAGCTGCCAGTGGAGGCAGAGCTGTGCTGGAGGATGCAGACAAGGATGCAGGCACCCGCAGCTCCCCTGTGGAGCGGGGTATCCTTGTGCAGGGGAGGGAGCAGCCGCGGCAGCTTTTGGGGTGAGAGCAAGCATCAGAGGAGCAGCAGAGCCAAAGCAGTGCTGGACCTCCTGGGGCTGCGCTGGCTGCTGGCGCATCACTGGATTTGGCTGTCATGGCTGCATGGAGGGAAGGAGCAGGGATGGGGCAGGGCAGGCTGGAGAGGAGGAGGAGCAGTGAAAGCGAGAAGCACTGAGGGGAAGAAGCACAGCATAGCACCCAGCAGCAGACAGCAGGGAGCTGCCAGGGGAGGGGATGGATGCTGCTGCTGCTGAGGGGGACATGGGCACAGCACAGGGACAGGGACAGGCAGGACAGGGCTGTGAGCGTGGCACGCAAGGGCCAAGCTCCTTCTCCTCCTCTGCTTAAAACCTGAGCCCTGCCAGGTCCCCCTTTTCCTGCTCCTGCCAGAGGGGTGAATCCATGGCCTCTGCCTGGCCGCTCACCTGAGGTATAAATGCCATGGAGGGGCTCAGGGGGTCTCCAGGAGCAGGCAAGGAAGGAGCAAAGCAGGAAAATAGCATTGCTTTGACCTGGTGGAGGTGGTGCCCTGAGCTCAGGCTGCTGCAGGGGACATGCTGCTCCCTGGGAGGCGAAGGTGACGGTGATGCTGCCCCTGGGGTGATGCTGCTGCTGTGCATCCCTGATCCCTCTCTGCAAGCTGCTGTGGGTCTGTGGCATAGTTTAACTCATAGGGGAAAGGGTGGTGTGGGTTCAGCTCTGGACCAGCCCATCCTTGTTCCTTGCTGCACCCCTCTCCCGGGTTGATCTCAGAGCCTGAGAGCCTTCTCCTGTGTAAAAGCAATTGGATTTCAAGTTACTGGTCTCTTTTCTGTGGCCCTGTCAGCCTCCATCCCTGCATACATCATTGACATCAATCTGTGCCTCATTTGCTCCTGCCTTTACTGCATCATGTTCCCACCTCTGTGGTGGTCTGGGCTGGTGCCACTGTTAATGGGTCTCCAGCACCAAGCTGTAGGCAACAGGCTGCAGCTGCCAGATCCAAGGGTGACAAGTTTAACTTGTTTTCTTCCCTCATCTGCTTCTCTGTACTGTGAATCGAAACCAGACTGCTCTGCCTCCCTCCGCTTCCACTTGCTCCCAGCTTGACTTTCCCAGCTGCAGTGAACCACTGTGCATCTCTGGGTACAGTCTGCAGTGAAGCACTCCGCATCTCTCAGTACAGCTCTTTGCTCCAGGAGCTGCCTAATTCAAACACATGCCATGGCAGCTTCCCCTTGATGTTTTTTGGTGTTAAAATGACACGTTTTACCAGATTCCTCATTTTCCACAGTTACCTCCAGGCTTTGCGGGGTCATTCCCCATCAGCGTTCAGCCTCTGCTTAGCAACATCCTGCCTGGTTTCACTGCCTGGCCCTGGAAGAGCTGTTTGTTTGCTCTGCTTTCAAGACAGGGAACAATAAACACTGGGCAGATCAAAGTCCAGTGCTCAGATGGGTGATACAGGTTTAAATCCGATTGCTGCCAGGGCATCCCAGGTATCTGATCCTGCCTGGCAGCGCCACTCACAGCCACCCCATCTCACTTGCAAGTAGTGAGGCATAGCATCAAACAGGGGTTGGAGAAGAGCAGCCTGGAGGGGTGGGTTTGAGGGGGTGTCCGCAGGGCATCACATTCAATTTTAGTGTTATCAACAATTAATCTGGCAGAAACAGTTGTAATTTTGTGGCTGATAGTGGTATCTGGTTAAGGACTGGTTGTCTAAATTAGCTTTAACATAAAGCTATAGTTTCCTGTCTCTCATATCATCTAAGCTTGGCTTGGGAAAGCAGCACTGGGTGGTATTTAGCTGTGTAAGTGTGTGTAAATACCAGCAGTCTCTAAGCAGAGCACAAGTGATGTTTTCTTCCAGGAATATCAAATCATAGAGAAGAGATACCGCCAAGCACTTGGAGATACAGGTTGCCAGAGGCAGTTGTTTTCCTTGTAAAGGAATTTTGGTTTGATGTTTTCTCCAATCCAGAACAAAAATACACAGCATCTAGCTCACTGCTCTGTATTTACAGCTAGGTGATTCAACAGGGAAAAGAGCAGCTTTTTCTCCTGTATTCCTACATGTTTCCAGATTTTCCTTAGGTAAGGACCGATGCCATTAGGGGATGGCAACACTCATCCTTTTGCCTTCACAGCCCTTGGTGGCAGGCACTAGGTAGGCTTGGGATGATGTCCTGGCTTGTTCTGTCACTGTGAGAGGCACAAAGGCTCCTGTCCATGTAGGGACAGCCCCCCAAGCCTGGAAATATCCCAGCCTTCCTCTGCAGAGTGGGGTTTGAGGATGGGGAGGGGGAAGAATCGAAGTCATCAGGGTCTCACGTGTGAGTGTGGACATACCCATGCATGTTGCTGCCAGTGCCTCCAGTCAGGCCCCCTCCTCCTCACTTCATTGCAGGCAGTTTTCTCTTTCAGAGCATCAGGAAGCTGAGTAACTGCTGTCAAATCTTGTTATAGCTGCCATTAGCATTTTCTGTTTCGCAGCTGAAACCCTGTTTCCTCCTAAAGCCTCGCTGCCCGGTGCAGCCATGGTGACAGAGCCTGGCTCTCCAGCCACCCTGACGCAGGGCTGGCAAAAACTGGAGCACTGAGATTCATCACCAGGCAGATGCCAGTGGGTATCACACGTATCTCTGTTGTCTCCGAGCTGAGGGTGTTTACCAGCAGCCCTGCATGATGAGCAGGGTTTAACCACTCCCGTGCTGGCTCACATAAGCATTTATGTCTTGTGCTTTGCTGTTTGCATTGGTTAATAAAATATATTGGACAGGGACAAAATGCACCAGTGATTTGCAGGTAGATACGGAGCGAGCGTGAGTAACCTCAGAGACGGGCCACATTTGGGGTAGGGATGCTGAGCTGGCTGCTGACCTGGGCCAGCATCACCTGCATATTTTGCTGTATTTCCTATGCTCTGTCCTGGCTGCAGCAAGTACTGGGAGAGAACTGTGAATAACCATAGGATTACAGAATGGTTTGTGTTGAAGGGACCTTAAAGCTCCTCCAGCTCCAACCCCTGCCCCGGGCAGGGACACCTTCCACTAGAGCAGGTTGCTCCAAGCCCCTGTGTCCAACCTGGCCTTGAACACTGCCAGGGATGGGGCAGCCACAGCTTCTCTGGGCACCCTGTGCCAGCGCCTCAGCACCCTCCCAGGGAAGAGCTTCTGCCCCAGAGCTCATCTCATCCCCCCTTGGGCAGGTTAAAGCCATTCCCCTTGGTCTGTGAGATGAAGAGGACTGAATCCCGGGGCGTGTGGGTTTCCCTGGGTGGCAGAAGCAGCGGCACAGTTTGAGGGGACCCACTTTGACTGCCTAAACCAAACACTGTTTCTTGTGTTCCCATAGGTTAGAAATCTCTGTTACATGGTGACGAGACGGGAGAAAATGAAACACACCATTTGTAAACTGCAGGAGCAGATCTTCCATCTCCAGATGAAGCTTATTGAGAAAGATCTTTACCCAGGTCAGTACCGCTTACCAGAGCTTGTTCTCTCGTGCTCTGTCCCTGCTGCCCTCTGAAGCCAGACTGGTGCCCAAGGCTCATCCCCCTCCCCAGGGGAACCAGAGCTCTCCCTCCCCTGTTATTTAAGATTGGTTCATGTGTTGACTCTTGCCCATCCCGATTTTGTTCAGAAACACAATAAAGCCATACCCTGGGTGACCGGCGTGTCAGAGAAACTTGTTTTCACGGATATCTCTTGGTCCTCCTCTTCTAGGAAGCTGTCACGAAGACCAAGTGTTTGGCTAGGTGGTGATGCTAAGGCACTGTTTTGGGGGCTTTTATGGAGATGGAGCTGTCAGTCAGGAGATGGCAAGTTCTGGCCACAGGGCTGCTGATGTTGGAGCTGATCCACAGCAGCTGTCTCCCTGGCATGGGTCAGCAGCCCTTGCTTTGCAGATGGTTTTGGCTCTGTCAAGAATCAGAGGTTAAGCTACTGGTAGGATGTCTGTTGCTCCGAGACACCAGCTCCGTTAGCACTGGTTGACTACAGTTCTCTTCTCCAGATACCTATTGGTGGAGAACATCATGCTACTGCATGCAAAGCCTCTGGCAACTTCTGTTAAGGAACTGCAATAAAGTTGGTTTCCTTCTGTCCTACTTTTTTCCCTTTTACACAAGCATTCCCGGAGCCCACAGCTCCTGCTGTGGTGGCAGGGCAGACCAAACCCCATGGCTGCAGAACAGTTTTTCCAGCAGCAGCATCTGGCACTTTGGCAGGCTCTTCCAGCAGTTGTTGTGTTTGTGGCTTTGGAGTTGCGTTTGAAGCCATCACATGGTTGGGGTTTCTTCAGGAACTGTCTGGGCTGAGCTTTCCTTGACAAAAGTGTTCTTTGACTGCAGTTTTGGAGGCTGAGAAGTGTGTACGTTGAGATGTTTGTGACTCGCAGCCTCTGCGAATTCCTTCGGAAGGCCCGAGCCAGGCAGGGATGGCTGGGACCCCAGGGAGCGCTCCGGGGAGGTGTGGGTCCTGCAAACCTCGGTCCCCATGGCACAGATCACTAACACCGTGTGTTGCTCCACACGTCCTCACTGAACCACTGATTGGGGTCACCAGGCTGGACACACACGGAATGGTGCTCCCAGCTGCTCCCACTTTGGAGACCCCATGTTGCACATCCCGGGAGCCGTTCCCTGGCCCACAGGAATGTGCTGGATGGTGCTCCCCGCAGCGATGCTGCTGGTGAGGAGGGAGATCCAGCTCAGGAATAACGGGTAGATAAAAGACAAGAGCAACAAGCTCAGATCCTGAAGGCAGATTCCATGCGCTGTTGCTGCCGGGCTCTGCGGGTTTTGGGGGGTCACAGGGGACCTCGTGGTGTTCTTCAGTTGAGCTGGGTGAACCCTGTTTGGCATTTGCAGCTCTCGGAAGGTGACAGGCACAGTGGACTTTGCCAGGAAGGCTTCTTGAGCTCATCTCCCTCACAAACCACGTGTTAGATGGCTGGAAATACCCTTGGAGAGTCCAACCTCTGGTCATGCCCAGCCCAATCCCTAACACAGCGATGGGGTGAGAGTTGGCAGCTCCTCTTGAGGACGGCTGGGATGGGGTGCAGATGCCAACCAGGGAGCTGTGTTGGGGCTCTGCTGTCGTGTTTTGGGGCTGTCCCGCACCGTTGCTCTTCCTGAAAATGTATGTACTTGAGGAAGAGCATGTCTGCTTTTACCATGATGTTTGTTCTGCCTAAAGGTGAGTGATCAGAGTCAAACCCGCAGTGTGAGGGTGACTCAAGAGGTGATGGGTTTGCAGGCTGTGGGATTCACACGTTTTGATGGCAGATACTCTTCTCTCCTGCACCAAGTGGTTGGTGTTTTCTGCTTTGAACCAACTGAGCTGAGCTGCTCATCTCTCCTGGGATGGGCCTTTTGGTTGAGCCTGAGCTGGGACTGCTGCCTCTGGGACCCAGCTCCCGCAAGTAGTTGATGCCAGGGAATTTGACCCTAGGATCGTCAGGTGGTTTGGGCCTCTGGGTCCTTCCCATGCCTGGGGGACATTAGGGACCCACGTGCCTTTCAGCATCGGTGTGTAGGATCTTCTGTGCTCAGGAGGTGTTCCCTCACTAGGATGTATCATCAGGCCGTAAGTTGCAATCCCAGATATGGGAAGTGAGGATGGCCTGGTGAGCTGTGACAGCCATAGTGCAGGCAGAACCACCTTGCCTCCTCCCCAGTGGTCCTCACGCTCATCTCCGGGTCCGGCCCCATGACAGTGGGGCTGGTGGCAGTGTGGCATGGAGGGGTGGTCAGTGTAACTGAGGTCAGAGAAGGGCTCAGCCTCCACCTTCCTGTGGTAGCTACACGGCCCTGCCCATCACGGCAGCACGTAGCAGTGGAAAGCAGTGTTGTGTTCATTATCTCCTTCATCTCATCCTGCTCCCATCCTTAATGTGCACCATTATAGACCCCAATGCTACCAAGTGCTCCCAACACCCAAGTGTTCACTAAGCCCCCTCCATGGCAGTTGATAATGTTAAAGATACTTGGCACCCAGTGGCACAAAAGCTGTGGATAACTCACTGCTGCATTTTCATAGAATCACGGAATAGTTTAGTTTGGAAGGGACCTTAAAACTCATCCAGCTCCAACCCCTGCCACGGGCAGGGACACCTTCCACTAGAGCAGGTTGCTCCAAGCCCCTGTGTCCAACGTGGCCTTGAACACTGCCAGGGATGGGGCAGGCACAGCTTCCTTGGTCAGTCTGTCCCAGTGCCTCACCACGTTACAAAGCACTGACTGGTTTGAAAGTGGGGAGGTGGCTCCTGTAGCATCCCCTCCACACAGCTCCCCACCGGGCTGCTCTGTGTAGCTGGGCCTTCTTGGAGGAAGGAAGAAGTCTCCATGATTTTGCCTGGATGAGGCCAGTTTCTAGCTGCTGGTACAGAAGTCATCGACAGAAATCTGTTGGGCTTATTCCAAAGATGGTTTTGGCACAAAGTGTTTTTGGAACGGCTCCCACATAGAACTCAAAGCTTGGAGGGTTTTATTTCCCCCACTGATAGATGATCATTTAAGGAGGAGATTTCTAATAAAATCAGTGTAAAAGTGAACCCACCCCTCTCCCTTATATTTTTCTTTCATGGAGTGGAAAGTAAACACTGTCTGGCTTTGAAACACGGCTGCTATTTTGACAGGTTCCTCTTCAGAAACTGCTGCTCGCGCTTCTCTTTAGCCCCGTTGTGCTGCCTAAACCAAGTCAGAGGTCTGCTTTGTAAGCCAAGTGGAAACGTGTCTGCCCTTCTCCGGTTATCTGGCAGGAACGTAGCAAAGACCACTTTTGCTTTTGCCTCTCTTGCTCTTAGTGGTGCTTTGGTCAGGAGGGGGTCCTGGTTTGGCAACCCCGGGATTAACAATCCTGTTAATCCACGCGCAGGCAGGTGCAATGTGAATTCCCTCCCCTGGTCACCCAGTACATTTCCACCCCTGCAGCAAGGGGAGAGCTGAGGTTATTCCCTCTGACCCATCCAGCCCATGGCCTCGCTGCTGAGGCTGTTTGTAGGTGCCTAACACATAAACCAGTTTGTTTCTTGATATCGTTGCTCTGATTGATGGCTGCACAGCTTTGTGCAGGTTCAAGCCATGGGCCAGGCTCACTAACTGCACATCCTCTGCTTCCATCAGCCACCCACATCTTGGTTTCAGGGCAATACCATTCCCCCTCTGAAAATTAATAGGAGTTTTAGCATGGACTTCTCTGGGAGAATGACCTAATGGAGTAAGTAAAAACTGTTGAAGTATTTTGCTTGGCAATACAAGTTGTACTTTTATAGGGTATTTGTCCTGTTTACCCAAGAGGAATAAATCCAGTAGAAGTTCAAAGCCATTTAGGAAATAGTGATTTTTTAGCCAAATGTCTCCGTAGCTAAGAGTTATATCCCTGGCTTTCCATAGGCAATGCTGGCCACCTTTCCTGCTCTATTTACTTATGCTCATTATACTGCTTAAGTTTTATAGCTTTGGGGGTTTTTCGCCCAATATGAGTGTGAACAGTTGCTATAGCCAAAAGGTCAAATTAAATCAAGATCTGCTTTAAAACACTGCTGGCACCACTGCTGTCCAACTGGCTTTGCAGCTAAATCCCTCCAGGAGATGCTGTTACTGGTGATGGGTGACACACCGCCGGGTTTGGAGGTCCTCATCCTCCTGGAAGGTGTCTGAGTGATGTTTGGGGTTATCCCTTCTGCTCCTGCAGTTCCTCACCCCAAAGCCCTGGTCCAGGAGAGCATCTTGGTGGTGCAGAGTCTCCAGTGAGTCCCCTGCTTTCAGTGGGATAGTCCTGTGGCTACACTAAGTTCATGTCCAAGGCCCAGACCTTGTTTGTGTGTAACCTACAGGATTCAGATCTTCTTGCACACAGCCTACAGGTGGCCAAGAAGTGTTCCCTCTTTGGCTTGGAGCTGGTTGCAGGTCTGGTCCAGGTCTCCACTGCAGGGGTATGCCCCAAGGGGAACTTGCTCACTGCAGCATCCCTGATGCCTCGTCTCACATGGAGTTTTCCTTTTTTTCTACAAAATGCCAGAACAAACTGGGAAGAAGACAAAGGGTAAGAAAAGTGACCCAAGAAGGAAAGGAAGAGATGGTAGAAAAAGTAGTCCTGAGAAGAAAGAGAAAAGGAAATCAGTCAACGAAACTGTATTGGGACAACTGGGTAAGTCTGATTTTATGGACCCGTGCTGCTGGAGGCTCCCTGTTTTGGGGAGCAGGGTAAAGAGTCCCAGCCCCGATCCCTCCTGCATGTACATTGTGGAGTCACACCTGAGGCCACAGGAGCCTCTTCCATCTCTCCCTTGTGGGCATCAGCCTGAATTAATGAGGTCCTGCGGGAGAGACCACATTGGAGACACGGTCCTTGGCAGGGAAGGGGTGTAATGTGTCCACCCAGCCCTGGGGCTTGCCCCCAGATTGGGATAGTGTGTTACAGGCCCTGTGATGTGCTGCTGAAGTGTGGTTTCGCTTCCCAGTGATAAAATCAGACTTACCCACCCCGCAGTAGGGCTGATCCCCCGTATCTTCTGTGCTGTGCACCAGTGGTGGGCACAGCTCCCATAACCCTGTGGTTGTACTGGTTGTGCCGGCAGCATCCAGGAGGCAAGGCACAACGTGCAGCCGGTCTCGACTTTGCTATGGGGAACAAGGAGATGCAGACTGGCTCTGTGGATGCCTCACCCACCTCCGGCTCTTCCTCATCAGCCACAACCTGCTGTTGCTCAGCAACAGATGGGGTTTGGGGGGAAGTAAAAAAACCAAAACAAAAAGGTTGGTTTTGATAAGGTCCTTGACAACTACATATGGTTTTTACACGGAATTGGGGTTTTGTTTGACTTCCTCTGGCACTGCTGCCTCTGCTGGTACGCGGAGCAGGATGTGATGAGTTCACATGTGCTCAGCTGCCCTGTGGGGCCGCTGGTCCCGTGGGGCTGTCGGATGTTCCGAAGGAGTTATCAAACCCTCCTGGGGGTACAGGGCGTTTCTGTGGGAGGTCTGGGGGTCTCTGCCACCCTGCCTTGCTCTGCTTTGCCCATTGCTCACCCCAACTCGGCTGCTTCCCGTTCATCTCAAAGCTGTTTGGTGATAAGCAGGAGCCCCACCGGTAACAGCTTTTGGGCTCGTCTTGTCTCTGTGCTCTTCTCTGCTAAAGAAACTTCGGATTTTCTGGGGCAAATTCCATCAGATGGTGGAGGGTGGGAGAAGCATCTCCAGGAAAAGCTGCACTGCTGCGAGCCTGGGAACTCAGGCAGCCAACCTTGAGCTCTCAGACCTGCCTCCTGCCCTCCCTGCCTCTGCACACAGATTTAGCGCTGGTCCCACCACCCCGCTGGCTGCTTGGCTCCGGCGAGGCCGGGGGTTTGGCAGCACGTGGTGGCCCAGCAGCAGCTTCTCCCTGCAGAACCCATGGAGCCTTGCCTGGGCCCTGGTGGCAGTCACCAAGTTTTTAGCCTTACACCGGGATGGTTTGTCTGGCACCTTTGCCCAGGAATGTGTTTTCCACCCGCGTTGGGGGTTGGCATCTTCACTGCAGAAAGATGCTCGGTTTTGATTCGGGGGGGCTCATGGAGTGTTGGATGTGGGGAAACACTCAGGGTGTTGTGCTGTGACCTCAGTGAACCCCAAATTCAGCAGTAGTGCTGGAGCAAACCCTGTTCTGTGTCCTGATGTAGTTGGTGTGTTATGGTTGACCTTTAGGGTGTTTCTCCCTTGCGGGGAGTTCTGGTGAAGTTGGTGGTGGTGTCAAAAGGGCCGCGCGGCTGTTCCTGGCTCCTGAACCAACCTTCCATGTGTGTTTTCCCAGGCTTGTCAACCTCCTTCCCCATCGACGGGACCTTCTTCAACAGCTGGTTGGCGCAGTCGGTCCAGATCACCGCCGAGAACATGGCCATGAGCGAGTGGTCCCTCAACAACGCCCACCACGAGGACAGCACCCCCGGCCTCTCCGAGGAGCTCCTCCAGGACGAGGAGACCTTGCTGAGCTTCATGATGGACCATTCCCTCCGGTCCCCGTTCAAGCAGAGCGAGGCCACAAAGAAAGTGAAAAGCAAAACGAGAACGAACACTAAGAAAAAGCTGCCCAGGAGCAGCCCCCCAGCGCGCCCCCCCCGCGGGGGGTGGGAGCCAGCCGGAGAGCTCGGAGCTATGGACTAACAGCACCGGTGACTTGTCGGATGATGCCACCAAGCCCTTCGCTCCCGATTCCAGACCGAGCAAGTCGGAGAAAGGAGCTACGAAGCTTCCCACCGACCGCAAAGGGACGGGCGAGGTGAAAAAGGCGGCCAAGAAGGGCTCTATCCCAAAAG